GACCGCTATCTGCAGCACCCCGAAGCTCGTCTATTTCTTCGAGGGAAGCTGAGCAGAAGTTTAGAAGGACGAGCTGAGCCTCACCAGGTCGCAAGATGTCTTCATCTTTCAGCATGTCTCCATCATCCTCCAGCAACGCCAGCCGCTGCCGGAATCTTGGCGGCCCACACAAGCTGTGCAGGAGTTGCTTCAGTGCCCGGACGGGAGAGCTTCCGGCAGCGAGCGTTTCCAGAAAGCTTGCCAGCTCTATCGTGACAATGACTTCCCCCGACACTGAGCGAATGCGCAACATGTGTGTCCCACCGAGCTTGGAAAACAGCACCACCACAACTATTTTCACCTCTTTGACTACCACCCTAAACCATAAGACTATCATTACTGCTGTTGCCGGTTCTTGGCCCCCATGGTCGAAGCCTGGGCATGAGCAAACTAGCCTGAAATCTGAATGTGCAGGAAAAATTCAGGCATGGCGCTTTATCAAGTTCTGACGGGTGCTTCAAAGGGATCCTGATGTAAGGGCTTCAGAAGAGAAGGATAAGTTACAGGTCTGGGCTGGCCTAGGGCAAGTTTTAGCAACCTTCCCCTACGGCTTAAGCGTCCGGCCCAGGGCAGGTGGTTTGCGCTCTTGAAAGACGCGAGAGCACAAGGCTATTATTGGCAGCTGCGCGAATTCCAGAACCCCCGAAACGGGAAAGTTTCAGAAGTAAAGGTACCTTGGTGAATTCTGTAGCAATAGTAGTAACAATGACAAACATCAAATAGTCCTAACTGTAGTTACAATGCTGATTAACAGCAGCAATAGTGCAATAATCGAAAACAGTAGTAGGCTCGTTAAGCCCAAGTTGAAACGTGGAAAGGTTCTGCATCGAGGTCAACAACAGTTTGTGCCGGTCCCGAACCCAAATTCGCAACAACAAACATTCAAAATGCCAACACCTTAAAACGACCACCGAAAAAGCAACTCCGACCACCTTGAGCCCTGAGGTGTGTGCATTATTACAGAGTATTCCGACTCCTGTGTTAAGCCTGGAACACATCCCAAAACGATTCGAGGCCAGCGATATCTACAATAATAGTCATCAGGGCATGCCAGCGCTTTTGGGGTAAGTCCTTTTCCAACCGCTCCTTTGAAACCACTGGATATTGCACTCTGGTACAGGTACCCCTAAAGCCGAACCGAAACCCAAACCCGAAACTGGCCATAAGCCCCACAACAGATTCCTGGTGCAAGTCGGAGGTGGAGGCTGCATGCCGAGGCTGCACCGGTGGTGGAGGCGACTGCCCCTGACCCGCTCTCTCTGTCTGTCTGTCTGTCTGTCTGTTTGTCTGTCTGTCTGTCTCTCTCTCTCTCTCTCTCTCTCTCTCTCTCTCTCTCTCTCTCTCCTCTCATTCTCACTCTCACTCTCACACTCACTCTCACACTGACTCACACTCACTCACACTCACTCACACTCACTCACACTCACTCACACTCTCACACTCTCACTCTCTCACACTCTCTCACTCTCTCACTCACTCACACTCTCACACTCTCACTCTCTCACACTCTCTCTCACTCTCTGGCTCACTCACACTCACTCACACTCACTCACACTCACTCACACTCACTCTCACTCTCTCACACTCTCTCTCACTCTCTCTCACTCTCTCACTCCTCACCCACCCACCCACCCACCCACCCACCCACCCACCCACCCACCCACCCACTCACTCACTCACTCACTCACTCACTCCCTCTCTCTCTCTCTCTCTCTCTCTCTCTCTCTCTCTCTCTCTCTCTCTCTCTCTCTCTCTCTCTCTCTCTCTCTCTCTCTCTCTCTCTCTCTATATGTGTGTGTACAACTTATGTAATATTTTTTTACAATCTATACCCACATATGTATGTACATAGACATGTATCTGTACATATATCTATCTATATATATATATATATATATATATATATGTGTGCATGTGTGTAAATGATATGTTTTGCATCTGAAGTGGTCCGTATACAAACATATAAACATAAAAAATACACCTTATGTATTCATATAAACATCTGTACACACACACACACATATATATATATATGTATATGTAAGTATATATACTCATGTACATGTATATGTATACACATAAGATGTCTTGCAATACCATATCATGCCATATCATATGTCTGCCACAGGTTTCACAAGCCTTTCTATGCTAGTTTTGTTCATTACATGTTTACTGTGATCGTATGACAGACTTCAGTGTAAGCTGAAGAGCATGCACAAACGTTTACAAGCCTCTGCTGCAAACAAGGAGCTTCAAAAACACGAGCCAAATCATGTTCGCACAGGGTTGTTCATTATGCGGTAGCTTGCTGAATACTGGATTTCCATGGGCCGGCTAGCACGTGAACTAGTTCCCAATTGAAAGGGATCAAAATCGAGAAGCAGCACCTGCTCACCGGAAAGGCCAATGGGTAGCTATGTGTATGTAGCATCGAAAACGGAAAGGCCAATGGGTAGCTATGTGTATGTAGCATCGAAAACAAAACATGTCATTGCATGCTTGCCTTGCTGGTACTGATCATATGTGATAGTGTTACCTACGCTCTTTGACCATGCTGTCCCTTCAGTTCAAGGGTCGTGGCTCGCATCAAAACAAACATGGACAGGACGGAAGCTCCTCAGGCACATGATACCCTAACCTTCACCCCTAAGCTGCCACCGGTTGAACAACCGCACCTTCGTGGCACGGCTGCGGCCAGGTGGACTGTGCAGCAGCGGAACCTCCGAAAATTCGGGTGGCCAGCTGTCTCATCGGAAAACCGAATTTCCCAGAACAGACCGTTTCTTTGGCAACTTGGCTGCTTCTGCTGGGTTTTCGTGGACGAAGGGAAGCAGGGACAAGCAGGGAAGAAGCGCCGCTCGGAATCTCCAATTACAGTCAACAGCCAGCAATTTCTTCGTCCCGTCTCCTCAAGTGCCGAACATGAAACGAGCGCTTCCATCTGTTAAACCGAAGTTAAGCCCAATATAGCCAGCACGTACATACTTCAACATCAACATCATGATCCTCATCACCACGACCAGCACCGACATCTTTGCCACCGTGATCGTCGCCCACTCAGGCATTTCACCACCCCAGCACTGTGAGCATCATCGTCGTCATCATCACTCCTCCTCTTCCTTCTCCCCCGCAGCCTCTTTCTCCTTCCCCTTCCCATCATCTTTATCATCGCCATGAGTAAAGTTTCGGGGTCATCCTCTGAGGGTTCTGAAGACCTACTGTACACCCCCTTAGAACCATAATAAATGCACTGTTATTGTTAAATAATTCCCAATGGGACGTGAACCCTAAACCCTAAAACCTTAAACCCTAAACTCTAAACCCTAAAACCCTAAACCCTAAACCCTAAAACCCTAAACCCTAAACCCTAAACCCTAAAACCCTAAACCCTAAACCCTAAAACCCTAAACTCAAGGCATAGGCCGCCCACCTACTGTGGGTGGGCGGCGCTTAAGCCCCTCGACCTCGATGGTGAGACGCCTGCCCGCCTCTCCACAGCCATGGGGACGGTACCTGGCCCCCCCCTGGCCCCCCTGGCCCCCCCGGCCCCCCTGGCCCCCCGGCCCCCCTGGGCCTTGACCACTTGTTTCTGAACTGCCCCTTACTGGGCGCCCTGACCCAGCCGGCCTTGGCTCTCTGGCCTCCCTGGCCCCCTCACCTACCTGGCCCTGCCCTGCTTTGCCCCGCCTGAGGTTGAAGAAAAAGAAAACCGTAGACTGAGTTTAGGTGCTAAACCCTAAAAGGAATAGGTTTGGGTGGTTTGGCCGCCTTAGACGGCGTGGGGTGGGAGAGTGAATAAAAAGAGCCAACCACAATCAGGCTCAAACGTTGAATCGCTTGAGGACGATGCACTCGAAATTACACTGTCGCAAGCTACTCCCGCTTATGCGCCATTCTACGGCAAAACCCTAAACCCTAAACCCTAAAACCCTAAACCCTAAACCCTAAAACCCTAAAGCCTAAAGCCTAAAGCCTAAACCCTAAACCCTAAACCCTAAAACCCTAAACCCTAAACCCTAAACCCTAAACCCTAAACCCTAAAACCCTAAAACCCTAAACACTTAGAGACTTCATGCAGCGGCCTTGGCAGTCCGGCGATTCGGCAGCGAGGTCCGCGTGGCCATACTTCCGCCTGTCCGGGGCGGCTGAGGTCACTTCTAAGTTCAGTACAGTTCAGGTTTTGTGGTCATTTGGGGTCTAGGATTGCTTAAGGTTTTGGAGTTTAGGGTTTAGGGGTTTCGGGTCTACGGACTCTATGTCATTGATAGGCACCGGAAGCCCGCAGCGACTGCATGTGATTTTAGATTCTGCGACTGCAAACAGACTTCACCTCTTGAGCTATTAAACTAGTATAATGTAGGAACCTGATTAAGAAGCCCATAGGCCCCACAAATAGTAGGGTTCGTATAAGGAACCTAAATGAAGGCCCAAACTTTCTTAATCAGGTTCCTGCATTAGACATCTGGCCTCACATAGAGCTCGGAAGTTCGGAAGGCCCCGCGAGCGGACGCTGGAACCAGAAAGCCACACAGCAATGCATGTGGACATGTCTCCAGTTGCATGGTCTCTATCTGTGTGCATGTGCGACTTATCAAAGTACCAGCATATACTTATATAATATGTATACAGGCATACCTGTACACCTACCCATATCCACATATATATATATACACACACATACATTTCTACATAAGTACATATAAATATATATTTGTGTATATATATATATATGTATACATACGTGCGCACATTTTCCATATAAATATGCATGTACATATACGTCTACACATAAAGTATGACATATGACCTATAGATACATGTTTCCATCTAACTATCATTCGTGATCTATCTTTGGGCTTGCGTGTGCGTGGTTAGGTAGCTTCAGTCGCTGCCACTGGGTTGGGCTGAACCATGCGGCGCCCTCAGCCGGCAGCTTTGCCACCTTCGTTTGGGGCCCACACAGGAGGGCGTACACCAGGAATTCGGTCCCTCGGCCAAGGTGGGCGTGGTGGTCAGGTGAACTCATGGTGAGCCGATCAGCTGCTGAGCAGCCAACCACAGAATTCATGTCCATGCTGTTGCTGGCTGCAGTTGCCCTTTCGCGCAGCTTACAAACAGTAAGCCCCAGCTGAACGGGAACCCTGAATCCGAAACGTCAAGTACACCTACCCATTGACCAAAATCCCAAATCCCAACAGGTCTTGTCACTGGCTGTAAACTGGTGAGCAAACGAGGGCTGCAGCCTTGTGGCTTAAGGATCCCCCGTTCTGACACACTGAGGCGGGGGCTGTCGCCGTGAAGGAGTGACACCTGGGCCGGCAGGGTACCTCCTGATCTGCCTTTTTTCGGCTCTCTCTTTCTTTCTGCTGGGCTTGGGGGTCGTTCTTTCTCTCTCTTTCTCTCGAAACTCCCCAAGGATAGCGACACCTCTCCTGGGAAGAAGTCTGCAGCTAGCACATCTTCTCGATAAGAATCTTCACTGTCTCTCGGACCAACGAGCTTCTCAGATCCTCAAGTCCCGGACGTAGGCGTGCTCTCCACTGTAGCCACTTTCCTGTCCATGGCCAAGGAGCTCCGATGCTTCGGAGTTTAGGGTCCCTGATATCTTAGAGCACTAAGACTGTCTTGACCTGATTAAGAAACAATGGGCCTTTATTCGGGTTCTTTATATGAATCCTACTATTTAGGGGTTATAGGCCCCCGGTTTCTTGATTAGAGCACTAAGACTGTCTTGACATGCAGGAAGTCATAAAGGGCAAAGCCTTGCCGGGGTGCTCGTCACATTGCGACTGCTCTTCAAGCGCAGTCGCTGATTGACGGGATGCCATGCGAGATGCATCAAACTGCCCCCCTGAGCGGCCAGCACGATGTGCAGCACCACTGTCTTCCTTGAGTGAATACTTAAATGGGAGTTTCCGAAAATAGGGGACCCTAACATAGTACCCTACACAGTAGGATCCTTATTATAACGACCCTGAAATAAGGTACCCCTAGTTTTCGGAAACTCCCAAATAACTGTGAACCCCCTGTCGCCAGGTAGGCGGGTGCCCTGTCTGCGCCTCTAGGAGGCACATGGCACCATCTGAGGGGCTCCCGGACGTCACAGGTCTACGCAGGTCTTGAATGTATCAACCTTACCAAAATGGGTTAGGGTTTTGGGGTATATAGGACTATGCTTATAATAAGGAACCCCCAAAATAGTGTATGTAATTACTAAGGCTCCTAAAGTATTCCAGTGGCTGTGGACTTGGTCGAAAGTGGAGTTCCTGCGTCCAGTTTTCGCGGCCGGGAGCTGAACTCAGCCATATGGACAGTGTGGTTATGACACTTGGCAGCTCCGTGACCTGCTCAAGCCTGACCTTACTGGCTAACAGCTACCATGAATGCTCAGTAAAATGCTGTTTTGGCATGGAGATTCAGTGGCGATGCATGGAGTGCCCATGAGGGCTTTGACATTGTGACAGGACTTGCCTGTCTTTCCGGTGCCCCTAGAAGAACCCTGGAGCAAGACACAGGTGACGAATCCGTGGCGAATGCTGGCGAGGTCTCTCGAGTGCCCTCAAATGCATGTGAACTCCGATTCAGAGAATTTGACGGCTTGAACTAATCAGCATGTCTTACACACGATGATGCTGTCCGATCAGAGCTTCAAAAGAAGACCAGGAGGGCAGATCGGCCGGACAATGTGCAGAATGGCTTCGATGCACAGGCTACAGTTCCCGATCGGAGCCTAACCTCCAGACTTGACCTCTACCAAACCAGACTTAAACCAGTCGGACACCCTCAACCGTAAAGATCCCTTGAAGGAAACCCCTATAGTACCCTGAACCCTTTTTGCAGCAGGCCTCGTTGTCCAGCAGCCCGGTTACAGCAACAGCCCCCTTTCCCCAGCTTCTTCAAAGCAAGGGGAGAAACCCTAAACCCTCGGATCATCACCCCGTTTTTTTGCCAGCTGCTTAGCCACTTTGAGCTGCCACCCTGGCCATTGGGTCGTTGGCGACGGCGACCTCGAGACGGACATGGCTCAACCGACTCTGCTCTTGTTCTTATGATGACGACTCCTGGTTTAGGGTTAGGGGGTTTAGGGTTTAGGGGTTTAGGGATATTACTGCCTGTATTGTTGCTTTATTGTTATTATTCTTATTCTGAATATTGTGAATAATGTCCAAACTCCGAATCTTCAAGATCCACCGCTTCAAAACAGCTGCCTCTGCTACACGTACGGTTGCTGGTATAAATCCTGCATTACCCATAAAAAGGAATATGCCATAATACCCATAGTTTAGGGTCCTTAAGGTAGTGCAGGATTTAAATCATCAACAGTACGTCTTGCCCAGCAGCGCAAACTCCAAACCCCTGAACTTGCATTGACATGGCGTCAAATCCAAGCGGCTGCAAGGATGGAGGGATCCTGCCCAGCAAAGGAATCGGCAGACTACAGCAACCCTGCAAACATGAGAAGAGGGTTTTGGGCAGATTCTAGGACGAGTATAAAGGCTTCTTCACAACCTGCAGGAAGGCGGGAATTACTGCATGAGCCGTTAATACTCACGAGCCTCGGTCCTGAAACCGAAACCTACAACTTATAGACATACATACATAAACAAACCCTACATCATGCTTAGATCTCTTCAACCTCAAACCCACCCTACACCAGAAATCACAGCATGTCCCGGCGGAGCTCGGGGGAGGCGTGGGCGATGGCCTGAGCGTTCAACTGGGGCATTTGGGAATTCTTACTGGTCCAGTACGAGGGTAGGGCAGGGCAGGGCAGGGTAGGGTAGGATAGCGTAGGGTAAGGTAAGGAAGGATAGGTAGGGTAGTATCCTAGAGAAATGAAGACAAGCAACCACTAGTACATCTGCCAAGCTGCACAGCCTGCTGTGCTTACCACCGCTCGCACGGCCTGAATGCCAAATTTTATGGAGGCACCCAAGGTCTCGTCAGAGAGGGTCGTTATGACAAGGATATGTTCTGTTGAGCTTTCGAGGCAACATCGCGGACCCAAGGCTTCAGCAGGAACATGGTGTCAAGCCATCTGTATCCATCTGTGTTAGCAGATGCGCGTTCTGACAGCTAGCACCTACAGACATGAAGATACGTTGACTTGATGCCGCAGTCGATACAGATGCAATAGGAGCAAGGGCCCTGTAGAGCTTCCAAATCAGGCAGAGGCTACCTAAACTCCCTTCTTCGATTCTCAGCCCCAACTTGCAAAAGTGTGTGGTGATGCTGTCATCCTCATAGCCCCTCCAGCTGGACGCGTATATGCCAAACAAGTTCACCGAAACAAAGATATGTAGGGATAGATTGATGGGTAGACAAACAGCTGTGTCTGCACAGCAGCTCCATTCACGCATCTATACCTCCCGATACCTACCCTGATATAGGTAGGGTCCTTAATAGTTTGAACAAGGTTTTGGGGCCTTATGGTGTCTACATTCCCAAGCACGCACACGATGAATTTGATTTGGCTGCCTGCGGGTCACATCGCAGCTCCCAGGCCGCAAACAGAAAAGTGTCCGGGTCCTGTTCCTCAGAGAAGGGTTTACCAGGACCCCCCAAGTACCCTTTAAAAGGTTCTAATATTTCCCATTAAGAGGTAATTGGGGGCTACAATCAAGGGTCGTTGGGGGGTCCAGGTAGGGCCCTAGACTTTTCTTTTTTTTTGGAGCGCCTTTTTCCTCTCAGGGCCCTAAACTTTAGGGTGTAGGGTGTGGGTTACTTGGAGGCCCTTTTGACTTAGTAAGTCTACTTAGTACCCCCTAGAAACCCCATTATAATCCCCATAACCCACCTTACTAACCCTACTTACTAAGTCAAAAGGGCCTCCAAGTAGGGCTCGGGGCAGTTTAGGGTGCAGTTTAGGGGTCCTGTTCCTCAGAGAGAAGGCGAGGTGGAGAACTCTAGCCTTAAAGTGAAATCTCCGACGTGAAGCAAACCGGGCAACACGGAAGTTCTGAATACACTCCCCTTACCTTTGGTTAGTAAAGGATCCCTTTAAAGGAACCCCTATTCTAATTATTAAAGCCCCTATATTCTGAGACTCAAAACTTACCTTTGGTTAGTAGGGAATGGAAGAATCGTAGTAATAGTAGTTGTACTTGTACCCCATTCCTCCAATCCCTACTAACCAAAGGTAAGTCCCTGCAAGACCACGGGAGAACAAGCAGTCTGACCGTCATCACAACCCGACCAGAAAGCTCATCGCGTGTGGAGTTTGACAATCGGAGCCTCGAGGGCAAAAGCCCAGTGCAGTGGGAACCGTTTTGTGAAAGGCAAAATCCCTTTAAGGGTGTGCTGCAACTGTCGGAAGCTGCTCCTTCATCTAGGCAGCTTCCACCAACTCCCCTTGAAATCCCCGAGCAAACATGCCACCTCGCAATGCCTAAGCCATTTGGGTGGTTGTCAACATTAGGCTCCCTTTTTGGATGCCGTAAATAATCGGTGCCGAGCTACAATGGGGAACCAAAAAGGGAACCCGATTCTGACAACCACCCATTTGAAGCCTCGTGCTCTCCGAATGCCTCGACAATAGGGATCTACTTCCCCATTCCCCACTGGTTTTGGGGGTTCCGTAGGCTGTTTAGCGCCCTATGGAATAGGGATGATCCTTAGCTCCCGCGATATCAATGGTTAGTCATCGACAGTCCACCACCTCGACAGAAGATCCTAAACCCTAAGCTAAACCCTATGGATGCATTACAGGAACCATTACAAGACCCTACTAAGAACCACTACTTCCTGGTCGAGAGTCCACCACCTCCAGGACGACATCCAGGTCTCGCTTCAGTCGGAACGAAGCCTCCGAGCGCGGAGGTCCGATGCACCAAGCTTCAAACGCATTTCAACAAAACGCGCATGTCCGTGGAAATAAGTAAACAAATAAATAAATAAAAGTGTAGGTGTATATATATATATATATATACATATAGGGAGGGAGGGAGAGAGAGAGAGAGAGAGAGAGAGAGAGAGACATAATGTGTGTGTACATATATACACACACACATATATATATATATATATATATATCTATACATTTATGTTACTATATTTGTATGCCACTCCCTGTACGTCCGTGTTGTTCTGGCTCATGAGATGTTGTCTCCCCTGAAGCGCTTCATGACAAGAATTACTGCGGAACGTCTCTTGCACTGGCGAAGGCTTCGAGTGGCTTCTGAGAAGTCCGGTCACGCTCTGCGCGCTGGGACCTATTCTAGCATAATGACAGCCCTAAACCCTAAACCCCGAAACCCGGCATCAACAACAAAGTACCACAGCTAGCGGGGGCCTTCTCGAAAATGCGCCGTGTAAAGGGCGTGGCAGAAATCCTGAGCGCGGGCCACCAGCTGCTTGCAAAAACCGAGGTTCGAGCAACATAGAAGTAGGGCTCCTGTCTTCACTATACTTCAACACCCTGTTGTAACTCATCTACCGTCATCTACGTGCTATAGTCCCCACCCTCACCCCTAAACCCTAAACCGTGCCCATATCAGACCTGTTTGCTGCCATCCGGCACGAAGTCGCGATCGTCCAGGAGCTGACGGGACACAAATCGCGCCGCCTTGGGCCAAGGTATCGGGTCTCAACCTCAAAAGCTCCCCAAACCCCTCGACACTACTATATCATATTTCTAAGTCTATATAAACAAATCATCTCTCTCTCTCTCTCTCTCTCTTTCTCTCTCTCTCTGTCTCTCTCTCTATATATATATGTGTATATATATATATATATATTTATATATCACGTCTCTCTCTGTTTCTCTCCATAAATATGTATGTATATATGTATATTATACATCCATCTATCCTTCTATATGTTGTCCATATATATATATAAACACACGTATGTGTGTGTGTGAATGTATATACATACTCTTTTACCGGTAATCGGCTAAATCAACAAAACACCCAAGCGCCGGCCTGCGGGTTGGAAGCCAAGGCCTCGAGAGCCATGGCCGCCGTCCCCCGCAACTCCGCTGCGGCGTGCCTGGGGATAACGGAGGTTTTGAGTTAGTTTAGGGTTTAGGGTTTTAAGGGTTTAGGGTTTAGGGGTTTGGGGGTTTAGGGTATAC